TTATAGCAAAAGCCAGAAGGCTTGAAACAAGCTCACAGCAACGAAACAAATGACTGATATTTTAATGTTACCTTGTATTTATTTATTTTTTTTTCGTGAAACCTAGATTACTTATAAGTACCGTGCCGTACAAAATTATTGGCTCGGAGACACTTTCATCTGATCACAATTTCTAATCAGATCTTTTAGAAAAATGTTTAAAATGTAGCTTTTGAGCCAATTAGTAAAGTGCAAGTCTGAAGTTACCAGAAAATTTCGTTGATTTTTTGCAATTATTTATTTTTTGCTGACAGTGTCTTCCACATACAAAAAAATGTCGAACATAGTTTGTATGGAAGAAACTCTCAGTAAAAACAATTCCAAATATATTGCCTCGTTCAAAGACATGAGCAAAATCGTGAATACATGGTTTTCCGCATAACAAGCGCATCTTAGTAATTTTGATAAAAATCTTAACGAACTCCGCACAGCTTTGAAAAGTACTGGAATTTCTCAAACTGTCAAAACCCATTTTATCCTTAAACATTTAAAGCAATCTATTACATTCTTGAATAACGATGGTTTAGGATTAAGGTCCGAGCAGGCCGGGAAGTCAGTTCATAGGGAATTCATTAAATTCTGGGATAGATTCAAAATAAATATGATTGATAAACCAACTTTTGTGAGTCGCCTGAAGAAAACTGTAATGACATTTTCATTCCAGCATATATAAAAACTTAACTAAATAATAAAATATTTAAATACTAAAATGTGTGACTATATTATTTGGTAAGCCAACAAAAAAAAATAAAAGGAAACAAAAAACAAATATAAAAAAATAAAGCAAGAAAAAAATATAAAAAAATAAAACCACAAAAAGAACAAAGAGGTGCAAAGTAAGTTGCATCTACGTGGTGCGCCTTGGAAACGAATGAAACCGGCTAAAAACTTACATAAACTTATATTTTCACATAATATATATACACACATTTACTCACACATACATTGTTGAATATTTAATGCACAAGGATGTTTTTCTCTTTCGCAAAAGTCGGTCCTATCATAGCTATGTAAAATGTGGATATCTTTAAAACAGGAGCAGCTAGGATTTCAATTCAAAGGGATTCTTAACCTAAAAATATGAACAAATACAACCCTGCTTTCAGTTTTTGTCGACATTTTTATGCAACCTATCTTTGCTTCCTGCCCACCGTGCGCGGCTGAGTTCCTAGTGCAGCACGAGCAAGTTGAAATATATTTCCGAAATCGATTTTCGCTCTTGCAGTTGCAGTCCCACCTTGCAACTTTTATTTCTGAAACTGATTTCCGAAAGGTGACAGAAAGATCTTTCTGGCTGTTCACACATCGAAATAAAATTTCTCTTTCTCAATTTGACAGCGAATTGCGTGCGAAAGACGGAAATATTGCCACGTCTGACAGGCTCTATACACAAACGATTGAGATATTAATTAATTGACAATTTGTTAAAATTATCAAGAATCAGTTTAGCCTAATAATAAAATTTCAAACGACGTCACGCTGCAGCTTTTGTACGTTCGATCACAGGAAAATAAATAGCAAAGACAATCGCAAAGACAAATTTAAATTTGAACAAATCGTCGCCTGGCTTGATTTAAAGCGAACATTTAAAAACACACTTACATGTTGTGACTGTAGCTGAGTGCGCAGAGATGCTGGCTGCAATTAGTTGCGGCCGAAAGTGTTCAAGTTCAAATCTCACTATGCAGAACATATAATTTAAAATCTTTATTTTCGTTTTTTTTTTTAATTATGAAAAAGTATCTGTAAAGTGCACAACGAAAAAAAATTGGTTCGGTTACAGGTTACGTGTTACTACTACAAGTACTAGTGAAAAGTTACGCAGCTGGAGTCAATTGTCACCTCCTAGGACAACTCCATGTTAAATGCGACAGTAGAAAGCATGGCTGGTAGATTTGCATGGTACCGGTATTCGACTGCCGAAAACTGGTGAACTCACTAGTTCTGTACTAGTATTTTCGCTGCAGGGGTGTTACGACCATTAATATTACCTAATAACCACTCAGGGGACCTCTGACTTTTCAAATAGCACCTCATTAGTGGAATTGCTTACTTAGAAAAGTAAAAGTATAAAAAGGGAGACTAACAAAAAAACACCTTAAAGAAATAATATATAAAATGATGACCATTAATATTACCTAATAGCCACTCAGGGGATCTCTGACTTTTCAAATGACACCTCATTAGTGAAATTGCTTACATAGAAAAGTAGAAAAAGGGAGACTAACAAAAAACACCTTAGAGAAATAATATATAAGATTAGATAAGTTCAAGTCAAAAACCAAGAGAACGAAATCCGAAAAACGCAAGGTATGTTGGTTTGGTTGATCACAAAACAATTATGTTGTTATGGAATGTGTGTAAAGTATCGGAAAACAGTCCTTAAGGCCCCTATACACGATGCAGCCCTGAGGTCATGAAAAATATAAATCAACCTTAGCCTCTATTTCCTGCTTCAAACACTTCGATCAAATAACAAGCTTTTAGTGTAACGAATTTAATCCTTCGTTTAACAATGCTTCACTGCTTAAACCCCATTTTAAAGTCACTGGTTAGCCATTACACAGCACATTTACAGGCTGCTCATAATACATGTCGTCGTTTAAAGTCCAAACCCCGTATCGTCATTCTGCAAAACCGCGTAACTGACATTTGCTGCAAAAAATTGGATTTGCTCACACAAGCTCTTGTCCTTATCCATTCGTCCTGAAATATACTAGCCAGAAATGCTATTTGCTTTATAAAAAAGAGAATCATTTTGAAATATGAGTGTTTTTACTCTCTTGAAAATAATTTATGCAACCTGACATACGCTGTTTTGTATTTTGTTGATACGCGGTTTTGTACTTTAAACGACGATATGTACTGTGCATGTAAATATTTGTACTTAAGTAGGTACAACTACGAAAAAACAAATTCCATAATTTTATTTAAGAATATTTATTTACTCTTCACCCATGATGCAATAAGATAAGGTGTTGGATGTTGTGACAGCTCGATTTGATGCTGCCTTAGTTCAGTGGAATAAGAAAAAAAACGGGAAGAAATGAATCCCTGTTTGGGGGAAAAATATAAAATTTCATATTTTCGTCTAAACAAAATTTGCTTTTTTGTAGTATATTCGTAATGAAATGAAATAAAATAAGATACACTAATTTTTAAGAAAAGAAAATGTGTATACCGAGAAACAATAAAAAACATTGAACTGTATTATATTGCAAAGAATTGTTAAAGAAGTAACACTGTTTCACCTAAGGCAGTCAATATGGCGGAATTAGAGCGAGAAGCTGCCAACATCCAACACCTTGTATTATTGCATCATGCTCTTCGCCCACATACTCCTACATATGTATGTATGTATTAGAGCTCTCGATTTTGTTCGCACATTTTCAAACAGCCCGGGTATATGAGCAACGAGTACTCGCACACTTGTTCAATGCTCATTACTCGAAAATTTTCGAGCTTGAGCTCGAGCAATTCGAGTTTTTTCGAGTAATTTGAGCAATGTTTTTTTATTATATTGACATTTTTGGTAACAACTTTTTAAATTTTTCAAATGATTGATATATAATGCAAAGATTGATTCATTGGTATTTAATAATATAATTTATTTAACATGAATTAGAAAGCAGCTGCTGACAAATACAATTTACAAATTTTCTTTTGTTTATGAAATTGTTCAAAAACTCGAAAATTTTGAACAAACATTTGGGCAGTTGAGCAATGAACGAGTTTCGAGCGAGTATCAAGCTACTCGCATTGCTCGATACCCGGGTATCTAGAGCTCTAGTATGTATGTACATTGTACATACAATATATATGTTTGTGTGCATGCCCTGGAAATTGCCTCACTTTCCATGCAAAAGCAAATCGATTGTCCTTCCCTAATCGAATTCTATATTCAGAGTCATTCGTGAAAACTCTGTAAAAGTCTGATTGAAAATTTCTTTAAAAAATCACGTTTGTCATGGACAAATTTTGTTACAAAACTTTTTCCCCAGTAAATAGACTGGGAGAAGAAAAATTTTAATATTTTTGAAAAGTTATTGTAGTTATTAAAAAGAACTCAACTTTTGATACAATTTAATGTAATACATTAAAAACATTATGCTAGCTTTGTGAAAATGTGAATAAAGTAACCAAAAGAAGTCTGCAAAGTTAAAGTAAAGTAGTCTAAATGTATTAATTAAATTATACTTAATTTAAACAGTTCACATAAGTCAACAATAGCAGAAATGTTTTTTGAACAATTAAAGCCATCAGATAAGTAGTTTATAGAAGGGTAATAGAGGGAAAAATCTTAGAATTGATTTTAAAGATATCCTTCTTCCATTTCGTATACAAACATGTTAAAAGGAGTGATGCATCTAGACCAAATGCACGTAAATTTTCTCGCAAAATTGTGGCATTGAAGAGAAATACTTTCAATTTTCCTGGGTTAATTGTTCCTTACGTTTATTTAATTTTTTTATAACAATTATCTCTAAAAATGTGAGGACAAGTATAGTACACACTTTCGTATGAACAATAATAAATATAAATTGTTTTTATTCCTTATATTTTTTTCGTTTATATTTAAATCTATATAAATATCATTACATTTAATAATGATTTAAAATGCACACATGCATTTTCTTTTAATTGATTATCACCCATAGCATAATGTACTAAAATTTCAAGTGATTCGAAGAGATAGGTGCAGTCGGCTTGCATGATTTGAGATAGAATTGGTCATAAATTAAAAAACCAAAGGTCAATATACATACGTACATAGATGCATATGTACTTATGTATTTTATGTCAATATTAGAATTCATTTTATGTATCTTATGTCGACATTAGGATTCAGTAAAAGCTCTTCTGTATTTATGCATTTTCATATTTTTTTAAAGTTCATTTAAAATTTTTTCAATATCTATAGATATTAATACTTTTGTTTTTCTCAATTTCTTACTGAAAAGTGAGTACGACGACACGCGATTACGATAGAGGATCTTATGACAACTACAGCGAAAATTTAGGAAGCACTGCGAGCTCAAGATTAGAAAGGAGGAAACAAGACGAACACAGATCTATATTCTCCTCAAGCCGGGCTGAAAGCAGAACAGAAGATCATTATGGATCTAGAATCGGTACTCGGTCATCTTCACGAGTGATGGAAGAAAAAAATCTCAAATCTGTAGGGAAGCCCGTTATTACTAGAGCATGCAAAAGCGTTCAAGTTCAACGTAAGTAAAAATATTTAAAAAACTAATATTTTATAAACGTTCACGCAAATGGTCTTAAAATAAATTAATGATGCAATTGCAAGAAGTGTGATAGGTATACTCCCTGCAAACCATACTTTCATTATTTCCCTTTCAGATTTTTTTGCCGAATTTTATGAAATTAAAAAAAAAAAAACAATCATTAATAATGCAGCGCCGTGAAGAAGTCTTTCAAAATTGTCTTTAGGAAATCGTATATGAATTACTTTACGAGCTCGTGTTAACCACTTCTTTCGTAAATAAATCGTTACAGAATTCAAAACAGACTTCCGATACTCTTAAAGATTTCATTAAGATTTCGATTTCCAGGGCTCGTAACAATTGAAATTTCGTCCTACCGTATATTAAAAACAAGTTTACAAAATGCTTATTTTTGAAGTCAAGCCACTAGCATCCCAGCAAAAAGTTGGTAATCGCTTTTAGTGGTAACGTGTTCTAGAAGGCATAGCGTTATAATGCCTTCGAATTTTTTCGCTTCTTTTAGGCATTGCCGGTATTGCAAAGTAGAATGTCCTCCAATATTTTATTTATTTCTCTTCCTTGTTTCATTTCGGGGAATGCAAAGTAGAATGTCCTATAATATTTCTTTTTTAATTCGCTTCTTTGCTTCATTTCGGGGAATGCAAAGTAGAATGTCCTACAATATTTTTTTTTATTTCGCTTCTTTGCTTCATTTCGGAGAATGCAAAGTAGAATGCTGCATCGTAGCTGAAAAATAGAATGAATATCCAAAAATTCTTTTTCTACCGTTACTTTCTGTGGAAATTTCTCTCTCATGTTTTGCTTTGTTCAATTTGCAGCGAGGTTGATGTCAGTCAATGAAGTGAAGTACAAGAGTGAGGGAGTACAATTTTAAGCTTAATTAAATATGCATGTAGGTACATACCGATTTTTAAGTAAAATCTAAATACCTAAATACATACATATGTACGTATAAAAACTTATTTATACAAATTTTAATTAATTTTAATCTTTTAAGACATTTTCTGATTTCTGTACTTATCTAGGCATTCCACATTAGTTTCTTTGTAAGGCATTCTTTGTTCGCTTCTCAGGATTCTGTTCCATGCGTTCTCCCTTCGTTTTAAGGGCTTACCGCCAATGACATGCCCATGTTAAAATAATGCCTTCTTGAAGCGAAAGGGTAAGCGATTCCCATCGCCTACCTCGTTTCCACTTTCGCTTCTGTGTTAATCGTGTTTTTGCTGGATGTGGCGTGCTTATTCCCGGTAGGACCTAGATTCTCGGCAACATTACAAAAAAGTTGTTGGAGTGAAAACTTCTTTAGCGGCGGGAGTGAAACGAAAAACCATGCCTCTACGTGAGTGGATATTAGAGATGGGCGATCTCGTGGCTTTTGAGGAACAACGTTATTTGTGACTGTGACTTTGCAGTCACAGTGATTTTCATCGGTGACTGTGACAAAAACAGTGATAAAAAAGTTGCAAATAGGAATCTTTTACCGAGTGAACTAAGGGCATTATATATTTATTTGCATCAATGACTATTTTCGTCGTTTGTTTTGGTCATTCACATACGTTTTTAATGATTTGAAATGCTAATATCAAACAACGTTAATCAGACTTTAGTCTTAAATAACGAGTCGCAGTTTCTCGATATGTAAATGTCACAGCTACTCCAACCTAGGTCATAAGCTATCCGTGTGCTAAATTTCATGCAAATCCGTTTAGTCGTTTCCGTGTATTAATTTAATTAAACTTTTTAACAGGTGGAAACTCTTAAGAAAGGTAGCCTATTTTCCAGTCTAGGTCATAGGCTATCTGTGTTCAAATTTTCATGCAAATCTGTTCAGTCGTTCCCGCATATTAAATAAATTAAACATTTTAGGTGGCAACTCTTAAAAAAATAGCCCATTAACTAATCTGGCCCATAAGTTATCCGCGTACAAAATTTCATGCAAATCCGTTCAGTCATTTCCGCGTGATAATTGCCCAAACATCCAAACATACAAACATTCACATTTATAATATGAGTAAGAAGTAAGATTGATCATTCGTCGGAATCGGAAAAATGAAATTTTAATAATAATTCCAGGACTTTGTCTAATTTTTTCGTCATTTTTCTTAATTACAAGTAGAGCTTTATAAATCTTTTATAACACCCAATGTTTATCAAGCTTAGGATTTTGTGTATCCGGGCAGGCTTTTTAATTTAACCAGAGAATATGTTTTCTTTATTAAGTTTACCCAGTTATCCATTTTAAACTGCTACCTGAACTATATCAGCGGTTAAAACTTGTCAAATTTTAATTTAAAATTTTCGGTAAGGAATAAGCGAGTGGATGAAAAATATATAAGTATATGAAAGAATAAACACATGCGCCGACTCTAGCCATTGTGTGTCACTCCTTTAAATTATAGTTTTTTTCTTATTGTATTAAAAAGTAACGTTCGCAACACTTTACTAAATATTAATCTTTATATTAACTTAGTATATATTAGAGACCAGAAGATTACCCGGTGAACTTCATATCATCTATAATTTATTTGAATTCCACTTTGATCAATTGTAACAAATCTTCAAAATCCAATTCAAAGAGATTACTAATACTGCCTGCTGTTATAGCTGATAAAAGAGTCCACACCTATGAGATGTGCCACGCCCCCTTTTACAAACTCATTTATATACATATATATTTCTATAAGCATCTACCATAGATATCTGTACACTTCAAATTTTGAGTTCATGTGACTATATATGGAAATACGCTGGCAAATTTTTTTCGATCCTGTACATATGTTTAGGCTGCAACCTGGCATATAAATACATACATACTTCCACAAATATGGTCGATTTGCTTTGAAGCCCCATCTTGCGGTTCTTTGAATAAAAAATGGATATCAGAAATGAATTTTTCATATCACAAAACTCCGGAGCAGAAGTTTTTATTAAAAAAAAAAACATTCGTAACGCTTTAGTAAATATTAATCTGCACATTGACTTAGTATTAATTAAAGATATTTTCTTGTAAAATTGCGCAGGCTAGAAATTGATTAGGACTTTTTCTTAGAATTTTATGTAGAATCCGAATCTGCTAGGAAGGAAAAAATGACCGGCCCTAATATATACCCTGACGGAAAAAAGTGATTTTTTTTAATAAACTAATTCAAAGACTACTTTAAAACAAATGCATTGAGTATATGTTTCGAATTTTAGTACAACGCTTTTATTAACTTGCAAGGTTGTGTGTCCAGACACCATTTGTAACTATAAAACCTTTGCTTTGCAAAGTTCCTATAAAAAGGTCTAGTGCATAGGGCGACATCTACCTCTCAACCGACGAGGTTATGTCGCCCTATGAACTACGTACGCTGCAGCGGAAATGAACGACATGGCATTTCTTTAAATCAGAGGTTCCCACACTTATTTTTATCGTAGACCCCTTTCAAAACTATACTGGTTTCCGTGGACCCCCTGATGCTCTTTTCTAACATATTCCCAAAGCTCATCAAAAGATGTGAAGATTCAGAGACTAAATTCGGAGTGGCAAAAATAAAAATAAAATATTTTCTTGTGTTCTATTTATTAAAAAATAATATGATCATACACTTGCAAGTTTTAAAAAATAGAGCTCGTAAAGCCATGAAAGAATATTTTTTAAGAGCACTAAATAAACTCCTCACATGGTCCGCTCACTCATGAATTTGCATGTGATATATTGGTCAAATAGTTCATTTGTGTTGATGCCATATTTAATTTTATCGCTCCGAGTTTTAAAGTGATGCGAAAAATATTCGTCACTCGCATATTTAAAACATAAAACTTTAAATAACAAAACTGCAAAGCTTTTTACGCCATACTACAAATTCAGAAACAAACTAGTAATTTTTAGCAAAACGACGACCTGATAACCTCCTCCTTTTTTGGAAGTCGGTTAAAAAGAGACCACATCTATATAAATCGATGGTAAACAAACAAGCAAGCAAGAAGCTCTAGAAGTGTTCCACCGTCTCATCCTATTCAAAGCAGGATGGTCAAATGGAGTTGTAATTTACGCCTATCACAGTCAGGTGTTTGCGCCACGTGAAGGGACCAGTCAGCAGTCCCAGCAGTGAGAGGAAAAACTAGACAGACCTTCTGAGATTGAAGGCAACATGAGTTTTGCCCACCACTCGATGGCTCCCAGTCATTGCTGAGCGAAGTAGCCACCCAGTTTTTGATGATTGCTTCGATGGTCGAAGTGGAGAGTGCTATAACTGGTCGCGGATCGAGGAATGCCTGGTCTAAGCCAGCTCTGGCCAAAGGGTCAAATGCCACATTTCCAGGAACTCCCGAGTGACCCAGAGTAAAGCAACCTCGTTATGTTTAGCAACATAATTTAGTCGGACATGCATTGCCGAACTAGTTTGGAAGTACTTAGGAAAAGGGCTGGCCAATGCATTAGGTGCAGCTTGGCTGTACCAGTAGACACGTAAACTCCTTTAACCCCACCTACTTTCCACCACGTAGTCTATGGCTTTGGGGATTGCAAATACCTCAGCTTGGAAGACTGAAGCATCTTCCCCAAAAGAAAAAGTGAAACTTATCCCCATTAACTTCGAAAAATACTCCAGATCCTGACCCTGAGTCTATTTTGGGGCCATCAGTGAAGATTCTACAATATACGAGTGTGGGCTCAGTGCTGGAATTAAACCAGAATTCCCCATCAGGGAACTCTCTCTCTAGAATATCTTCAACAAAGGTAATGGTGGCGTACTATCCTGTAGCATTGAAAAGACACAAGTCCTGAAATATCTGCCCCCGGCAATGTCCGCATCGCTTCACTCAGTGTTATACCAACATCGGTTTCTTTTTATTCCGCAGATGACCTTTAAGGCTTATCCACGTATGATGACAAAAAGTGAGCGTCAAGAGCACTATACACCACTCAAAAGAATTAGAGTTAAATAAATAGGCCATAAATAAGCAACCATTTTGGTTCTTTATTATCGAAACCAAAT